TGAGCCCAGGAGTTGGAGGTTGCTGTGAGCTGTGATGCCATGGCACTCTACCCAGGGGGACAGCTTGAGGCTCTGTCTTAAAAAAAAAAAAAAAAGAAGAAGAAGAATTTGCACTTCTGGACCTGTCCTGAATATGAACAATTCTCTGCCTATACATTCCAGACCCAGGAATATTTGAGAAGGACTGAATAAATGGGGAAATAATTTTTTTGTGACTTCCTACTGATGCCTTTTTAACTTAAGATGGCTAAGGGCAACTATTTTTTCTTGCTTTCCTAAGTTAAAGAATCAAAGTGAAACTAAAAACTGTCATGGTACTTTGTGCCCCTTTTCATACAAGGATGTTTATAGCTCCATTCTCCATCCTCTAAGCATATTTTGTACTTTCCTCTTGTATGTTATAATTAAGGTGACCAGATTTTAACAATGGTAAAGCGGGACACCATGGAGGGGGGCGGGGTGGGGCGGGGCCTGACAACAATGCAAACTTTGATAAGCAGTTCGCGATAATCACTTGTCAACAATTATTTGTTATTATTACAGTTTAACATTATAAAATTAACAAAAATAATATAAAACTCATATCCTGGCAAAATAGCTACATTGCAGCCCAAAACCATATAGTCCCTTCCTGTTCTCCCACCCATTTCCTAGCTTGTCAATGCATTCTTCCAAAAACCGGGACTTTTTTAAAACGCCCGCGGGACCTGGGACAAATTGTTAAAAATCGGGACTGTCCCGCCAAAAGCGGGACGTTTGGGCACCTTCATTATAATACCTACCAGCTAAGTCAATATGTATTCTTTTTATTTTTGAGAGTCTCACTCATTGCCCTCTCTAGAGTGCTGTGCTGTGCTAAGCTCCAACTCCTGGGCTTAGGTGATTCTCTTGCCTTAGCCTCCAGAGTAGCTGGGACTACAGGCACCCACCACGAGGCCTGGCTACTTTTTTTTGTTGTTGCAGTTTGGCCGGGGGTGGATTTGAACCCACCACCCTTGGTACATGGGGCTGGTGCCCTACCCACTGAGCCACAGGCACCACCCTATAAATTCTCATAGATCATATACTTATTTATAATTTTTAACTTGTCACTGACCTAATACTTGTCGATACCAAGATTGCACTTTCCCAGAATATTATTTCTACTAGGCAGCCTTGTTTTGTGGGCAGTAATGAGCTACTGAGAGTATTAAAGTAGCATGTGACATAATTATAGCCATGGGATATGTGTAAGATGAACCAATCACCATTCTTTTGTAGTTATCAACAGTGAGATGGGCTCTGATCATTTCTCTCCAAAATTCTCTCTCCCTAATCTAGACTTTCTCTGGACTCCTGAAGCTCTCCCCATAGTGCAGCATTCTCTAGACACAGGGTTCCTCAAACTTTTTAAACAGGGGGCTAGTTCACTGTCCCTCAGACCATTGGAGGGCCGGACTGCGGGCCCTGGGACGAGTTGGCTGCTAAGTAGGACAGGCAGCGGCAGCAAAAACACCCAGCAGGCCGGATAAATGTCCTCAGTGGGCCGCATGTAGCCGGCGGACGGTAGTTTGAGGACGTCTACTAGAGAAATACAGTATTTCAGTTGTACATTTTTGTCTTAATAGGACTCCCTTTTCTTTCTCTGGCAGAACAAGAATGATATGGCAGCTGGCCTAAGTCTTAAACCAGCAGTCACATCTACCAGGGTCTAAGTAGGAGGGTAGTTGCCAGGGAACCCTGAGTTTTTAGATTGTTCCGTGATGAAGTCCAAGGTCTGGTGGAAACAGTTAAACACACCTAGACAGTTAAAAAGGTAGAAAGCTGGTCTCAATGGTAGAGCCATCTTTAGTTGCAATTAAAGGTACCTTCGAAAAGAAATCTTGAATCTTCTTCCTTGAAGAGTACAATAGACTGAATATTTATGTTTTCCCAAAAATGCATAGGTTAAACTCTAATCCCAATGTGATGGTATTTAGAGGAAAGGCCTTTCAGAGGTGATTAGGTCATGAAGACTCTAATGAGACTGATGCCCTTATAAGACATGCCAGAGAGATCCCTCACTTTTACCCCCCAGTGAAGACCTTGAAACATGGCCCCTGGGCTGGGGACCTGTGGCTCAAGTGGCTAAGGCGCCAGCCACATACACCTAAGGTGGCAAGTTTGAATCCAGCCCACCCGCCAAACAACAATGACGGCTGCAACCAAAAAAATAGTCAGGTGTTGTGGCGGGCACCTGTGGTCCCAGCTACTTAGGAGGCAGAGGCAGGAGACTCGTTTGAGCCCAGGAGTTTGACATTGCTGTGAGCTGTGATGTTATGGCACTCTACCCAGGGGACAGCTTGAGGTTCTGTCTCCAAAAAGAAAAGAAAAGAAAAGAAAAGAAACATGGCCCCCTTTGAACCAAGAAATGGCCCTTCACCAGATACCAAGTCCCCAGTGCTCTGATATAGGACTTCCCTGTCTCCAAAACTGAGAAAAACTTTTTGTTGTAAAAGCCACTCATCTATGGTAGTTTGTTACAGCAGCCAAATGCACTATGACAAAGAGTAAACCCTGCAGTTGATAAAGAGACTAAGCAGCCATTGCAGAGCGAACTGAAGAGGACTGGCACGTGTACAGGCTTCTGTTCCATGGACCAAGCACTTCTGAACCACGTCTACATGAGCTGTCCATATCTGAAAACATCTAGTCTCATTCAGAACTTTCACAATGGACAGGGTGCTGGGACGGGAATAGAGGCACTTGGTCACTGGCCAGGGAATTGGCCTGACCTTGAGACCAACGGCCAACGAAGGAGCAGATTAGCCCTCCTCCCAGGCAATCCTGGACGCCTCTTCCTGAGAAACCCCTCCTTGACGCAGCACTCCTTACTTTTCTCCTCAGTGGAAGGATCCTGGGGCAGTATTGGGGGAGACACAGGAATGGAAGGAGATTGGGTGAATACATAGTTTGCCTGGTTCTGAGCTCTTACGGTGATTCTCCCACGGGCTCAGAAAAGATGGAGGATTAAGAGGCAGGGAGGTCAGAGCATCTTAATGACTAGAGGAGTGCGGGTCTGAAAAGGGATTAAGAACGCAGACTCTAGTTACACTTCTGGGCAGTCCTAGCTCCACACTTACCGACTTCTGTGACGATGGGCAAGTTATTTCATCTCTCCATATCTCACTTTCCTCATCTCTAAAAGGGATTATTGGAGTACTCACTTCAGAAGGTCACAGTGAGAATGAAGTGATTCTTGTAAATTGGCTTGCAGTAACAATCGATTACCTGCTAGCCATTCTTACTCCACATACCTTCTTTTCGCCTCCTGCAGAGTGAAAGCACAAGTCTGTGCTTCAAGCCCTTTTCCATGAAAAATTCCAAAATTACAACCTGACATTATAAAGAATCTCCAAAACGTCCAGCACACGTTCTAGAGGCGTGGGCACCGAGATGGGATAGCCCCCTGGGACAGCCGGTGAGTGCGCGCAGGCAGACACGTATGTGTCTGTGGGCGTGTGTCTGCAGATCCGGCCAGAGTTCAGCGCGGGCTGGGGGCAGCGTCGCGCCGCTGGTGGGCGGGGCAGAGCCATTGTTCGCCCGCTGACCGAGTCCTCAGCGCCGGTGGGGCAAAGAGGCGGGGCTTCCCCGGTCCCGAGCGCCCGACCGCGGGGGTGGCCACGTCTGCCCTCCCGCGCGCGCGGGGAACGGGAGGACGGGATGCAGTTGTGAGTAGGGGGCGCCACCGTGGCTGCCCCACTGTTTCCTGTGAAACTTCCCCAGTGCTCATTCGTCGTGTGCCCCTAGCCATCCTGGGCTTGGAGCCACCCCCAGTCCCAGAGCGGGTCCGCTCCCTCCTGCAGACGGAGAGCTCCCGAGCGCTGGCGAGGCCCAGGGTGCCGGGCAGAAGCCCAGTGGCCGATGGAAGAGAAGCCGAGAAGGAGAAAGGGAGGGGAGGGGGAGCGAGGAGCTCGCGGCAGAGGGAACAGCAGATTGCGCCGAGCCAATGGCAACGGCAGGACGAGGTGGCACCAAATTCCCTTCGGCCAATGACGCGCCAGAGTTTACAGAAGCCTCATTAGCATTTCCCCAGGGGCAGGGGCAGGCCAGCGGCGGCGTGGTGTTGGTGTCCGCAGCATCCCGGCTCCCGGGCTCTGGTCGCTGCACGCCTAGGATTTCTGTCTCCTCCCTTCTTCCGCCCTCACCTCCGCGAGGGGCTGCCTAGACCAGTCAACTGTGCACTTTGCCCCTTGTTGGCAGCGGATAAAAGGTGTCTGAGGAAATACGGAACACGGTCACCCACTGCCAGCTCAAGCCTTTAAATCCCCAGCTCCGGGAGATCCACGCACAGCGGGTCGGGCCCGAACACCCAGCACCGTGCACGGCGCAGAGCCACGGATCGCTGCGCACTAGCGGGCTCCGGGGCAGAAGTCCACCCGTCCCCGCTGTCCCAAACTCCACTCGGCAGCCTCCGTCGCGAGAAAGTGACCCCGGCATCCGAGAGCCAAGATGCCGGCCCACTTGCTGCAAGAGGAGGTGAGCTTCCCGGTGGTGGGTTCGCGGGCTTGGTTTGGGCTTCTACTGTAGGTGACTGGTCGGTAGGGGGAGAGAGTTGAGAGCTTCGGGAAGGACTTGGCCATCTTTTTTCGAGTTCTACTGCCTTCAATTGGTTGGGAATGTGGATCGCAGTTGGGAGACTTGATTCCCCAACTTTTCGTTTCTTAAGCTTTACAGCAAAGAGAAACCTGGCGGTGCCGGTACCTTTACGAATGTGTGCGGGTTTTCCTTTGTGTTTGCAGGGATACAAGTGTTTTACCGCTCCTTCCCACTGCCCCTTCCACTTAGGTTTTGCCCCTACTCCCAGTCTATCTGCGCAGTTTCTGGGGACTTTTCCCCTTTCCATCTCAGGGTGCACGCCACCCTCAGTGAATCAGGGCATTGGAGCAGGGTCAGTGCCTGTACTGTCCACCCCTCCCCGGCTTAATTAGAGAGTGAAGTGGCTCCTGCTGCCTCCATGTGTCTCCTCTCCTGACTCGCCACTTCCTCTCCCTTCCAGATCTCTAGCTCCTACACCACCACCACCACCATCACAACGCCTCCCTCCAGGGTCCTGCAGAATGGAGGGGGCAAGTTGGAGAAGACGCCCCTCTACTTGGAAGAAGACATCCGCCCTGAAATGAAAGATGATATACATGACCCGACCTACCAGGATGAGGAGGGTCCAAAACCCAAGCTTCAGTATGTCTGGAGAAACATCATCCTTATGGGTCTCTTACACCTGGGAGCCCTGTATGGGATCACATTGATTCCTTCTTGCAAGTTGTACACCTGGCTCTGGGGTAAGCAGACTCCTTGTCCTCCCCACTCAGTACCCCAGGTTTCTCTCTGCTCTTTTAATAAGGTAGGAGGTAGGATCTTACATGGAGCAACACCCTCCTCCCCCAGCCATTTCTCTTCAGCAGCCTGAGAGGCTGACAGAGCAGGGCATTGGGGCCCAGGGATGTTGGGGCCCTGGGATGCAGGAGTGTTAGTTCTGGGGTTTCCAGAGGGAGCCCTGAGACCATGTGCTATGTGAGCTTTGATGTAGATCTGTGCCTAAGAGTCAGCTTTCCCTGAAGGAGCATTTCTGTTTGAGTCATTTGCTGTCCCGGTCCTGCCAGCCACAGAAGAATCAAGGCCTAAGAACATGGCACTAGACTTTAGGCTTTATAGGGTATGTGCTGAGGCCTTGTGAGATAGGGCAAGGGGGCAACTGCTCAGGAAGACAGTTAACTGAAAAGGGAGGAACAGAGGTGATTATCCACAAAACTACTTTGACCTGATCTCTTGGCCAGCCCAGGCTCCTTTGCTGCAGAGGAAGATGAAGAAGGCTCCTGTCTAACCCAGGTTGCACAGGGGTATTACTCTGTTACTCCATGCAGGTCTCCAGGGTATTGCAGTGCTAGTCAACAAAATGTTCTTTGAATGGCATAAGGTTGAAGAAATGTTTCATGTTCCATCCCCATCCAGCCTGCTTCAGCCCTTCTCTCCTGATGCTGTGAAGTGTCAAGGACCCGGCACTTTGTAACACTAGCCCTCCCTGGCCCCCTAACCATCCCTGCTTTCCAGAAAAGAGAGCTCTGAGTAGCACTGGCCTTGAGGCTACTGTAATGAGGTAGAGAGTCCCATTAGGCCCTGACCTCCCCTGAGCTCAGCTCTTTCAGGGATCGTCTGTGTGGGCTGATAGCAGGGCCCTGCCCCCCAGATACACACACATGCGCTCTGCAGGCATTTTCACCTCTGCCTGTGTGGGGAAGGGACAGCAGAGAGCTCTGCAGATCCCGGGGCCCCACATTGCTCCTTTCTGAGGGGTGGCAAGCCAGGACTGTTTCCAGAAAACAACTTGAGGATTTCCAGAGCAGTCCCAGCATGGAGTACACTGTTAAGAGAATAGTTATGTAGAGGTGCTGGTAAGCTGAGTTCCTCTGGCCCTCTTTGGTCTTCTTGGGTGGTGAGATCTGGTTCCTTGAGCTTTGTCTTGGGAAATCATTCAGGTGCTACCGTGAAATGCACCTGGGAAGATCCCTTTCCCAGGGTACCAAGTGCCAACTTGGGCAACAGCTTTACTTGTTTAGTGTTAGGAAAGTAGGATTCCTTAGATTTTGTGTCATAGATGAGGCAGAGGCAGATAGTGAGAGCAGGCCAGTGTGGGAAGGCAGTTCATCTGCAGACCAGGAGGGGCTCTTATATTTGTGAAGAGAGGGGACATCTATCCTTGACCCTCTCTGGAAACTCAGCAGAACTTCAGTTGCAGCATGAGAAATCAGGAGCAGAGGTGGGATTCTCCAGGGTGCCTCTGCACCCCCTTCTTCTCAAGGTGGGGAATCTTCACGAGCTGTTTTGTTCCCTGAAAGCCCCTTCCAGTGACAGCACTCCCTGTGGGTCTCCTTATATTCAAAGCTTGACCATACCAGGGTTTGGTCACCCTCAGCTAGACACTGGTGTGGGGAGCAGAACGCTGTCTGTCAGTGCTACCTTTTGGTGCCCTGCCCATGGGTGTGTGCTGTTCCCTAGGACAGAGGAACATGGCACACAGAGACTGGATGGTGACTTATTTTACTCCTGTCCCTAGGCCCTTTGGTGGATGCCTTAGCTGATAGAATGACCAGCTTGATAGAGGAATGTCAGAACTCTTCTGTCCTGGGGAACAAGGAGGATGGAGGGAAGGAAGATCAGAGTCTGAACTTGGGCATCTTCTCTTGCTACCTTCAGAGTTTAGGAGATTGACTTTACCTTTTTTTGTTTTAATCCCTATGGACAGCGTTCACTTAGCAACTGGATGTGATTTCAGCACTTCTTTTGACTCTGAGTAATTTTAAGAGCCTTGATTGTAGAGCCTCTCAGGCTGTCTCTTAGGGTGGGGCTGAAGAGATATCTCTGGCAACACTGGGACAAGGGGCAAAACTCTTCAAGTCTCTTTCTTAGGGCCATGGCTAAGAGATGTTGCTTAACCATCAATTTGGATAATCCTTTACCTGGGGAACAGAGTGAAAATGAATCTCTAGTTGACTTAAGCCTTTCTAGTGGACAGACTAGTAGGTATTTATGGAAAAGGCACCAGAATGACTGGTTTCTTTCCCCAATTTCTCTGTTATATGGGATCTTATACGGTTTCTGAGTCAGCTTACCCCAGGGTATTCTTGTGGCATGAAACAGTCCCAGAAGCTTCCTTGGTTCTCAGCTGTGTACTTCTGCATTCATGCCCAAAGCTATTTCTCTTCCTCCTTGGTGATTGGAGGGCTGTGGCTCAACGGTATTTTTCCAGGTAAGTTGCAAGTCAGATACTGTAGCTGGGGAGATATCTATCAATCACCCCTTGGGCTTGAGGCCTGCAGGTCACCTAGGGCTTTTATCCCTATTCTGAGGCATGTGAATAGAAGTTCCCTTGGGGACAGACGGGCTCTGTGGCTCTCCTAAAGGTCCTGTAGGAGGAACAGGAGAGGGTGGAGGAGGTGAGCTGAGAGAAAGGAGGAGGCTGTTTAGGAAACTGCTGTCTGTGGCTGCAAAAGAACACAGGACAGTTTGTTACAATGTGTGGTGTCTCCAACTGCAACTAAGTTCTGTGGCCACTGAGGATCCATTGTTTCTAGCTGTTTCCCTAGGAATGAAATACTGTTAACAGTTTCTACCAAGGCCTCAGCCTTTGCCTGCTAGAGCTACCTAACAGAAAAAGAGATGGGTACGCCCAGCAACATGCTTCCCAGTTAGAGACTATATCTAGTAACCTCCTGAGCCTGCAAGCCTCCAGGAATGGGAGGCAGGAAAATGCTGGGTTGCTCCACTGAGAGGTTTGAGCATGTCTCACTGTTGTCTAGAATTATTATTGCCTAGTGAGAGTCTAGGCTGACAGGGATGTGGCAAAGGAGACACAGGAACTATGCTTGTATGTCAGGGAGGTGGAAGATATAGCTGGAATGTGAACTGCTTGCTCAAACTGTGGCTCCATTTCTTACTAGCCACATGACCTAGCCAAGATAAATACTTAACTTCTCTGAGTATCTAATTCTTTAACTGCAAAGTGGGGATATTAATACTACCTACCCCATTCAAAGTACTCAGTGAATTCGAGAATATTAAACTTGTTAGTAAAGCTTAAGATACTGTGCAAATATGACTTAAGTGCAGGGCTGGTTTTCCCCTGATACGGCTATAATGCGAGCTAAAATATTGAAATGCTTTGTATCTGTTAATAAAGAGCCCTAACCCTGAGTCCCCTGTTTAGGCACCCTGAGTAGTTTTTAGCTCTTAAAACTTTAGAGAAGGTTAGCTAAAGGTCAAAGATGACAGAACCTGGGAAAATGCCCCTGCAGCCTGAGAATTACAGTGGATGGTAAGATCTCTGTTCTGTCTCCTGCCTTTCTGACTCCTTAGTTCATGGGTATCCTTATCTTATCTCAATTCCTAGGTTGAGAGGCTGGAAGGTGATGGTATTTTTCAAGTGGTAAAAATCTAAGAGACCAAGGTATCCCTAAAGTTCAGGGTAAAGCAGATCCTCACCCAATACCTAAAGAAGACACAGCTGCTGACATCAGGAGACTATCCTCCATGCTTCCCTGGAACTCACACTGGTTGCTGATGCCCCCACTGTCTTCTCCCGGCAGGGTTGTTCTACTATTTTGTCAGTGCTCTGGGTATAACAGCAGGAGCTCATCGCCTGTGGAGCCACCGAACTTACAAAGCCCGGCTTCCCCTGCGGTTCTTCCTGATCATTGCCAACACGATGGCATTCCAGGTAAGAAGCTTTGCTTGGCTCATTTTTCTCCACCCTATAGATGAGGGGCAAAAAGGAGGGGATCAGCACCCGGAGAAGAGCCACACCTGCACAGCCACTGCACTTTGCTCTCCCCTGTGGTCGCCTCAAGTGAAGGCTGAGTTCTTAAGTCCATATAGTACAGAGCACAGGAGACTTCTGAGTACTGGAAAAGGCAAATAGGGGCTAAATCAGAAATATTCTTGGTGTGCCAGATATGTTCAATTTCAAGGTCCCTGTGTTATCATCACATGATCTGGTTTTTGTCCTTCATCATAAGGAGCAATGGCACATAAGCCAGAGACTGACCCTGGTTTCCTGGGTAGACTTTGGACAATAAATTCACTGTTTAAGGTAAATGTCTTACAACCTCACCATAATGGGATTAAAGTTGATGTTTCACAGACTTGTGAACTCTGTTGTTTTCAGATAAGAACAAACACTTCTATAGTGCTATGTGCCTGGCATTGTACTAAGCACTTAACATAGATTAACTCAGTAAATCTTCACAAAAGTTTTAGGAGATTGGTACTCTTGTGATTCCCCTTTACAAGCGAGGAAACCAAGTCATTGGGAAGTTAGATAGACCAACCCAACGTTGTGGTCCTGTCTGGGGCTGCCATACTGGCAAACTCAAGTACTGAGATTTGCTGAGGTAAAAAAAAATGTGTAGTGGAGACAGAATGAAGGGAATTGGGGAAAAGGAGCTTTCATAGCTGTTGCTGTAGCCAGGCAAAGGGCAGCAGGGATGTGAGGCTTAGCTCAGAGCAAGAGTAGAAAGGAGAACAAATTAGTCATTTTAGGCCATATCTCAGGTACTTATTATATTTGCATAATCTCTGCCATTAGCAACTTATACCTTGAAGGCTCCCATCTGAGCTCCGTGTGGTTTACCTGCATTCCACCCACCACCTAACAAGAAGCAGTAGTCCTATTCCTGTGGTCCGGAGATTTTAAGTTGCTCTTTTACTTAAACTTTAATAGAAAGTTGGGAGAAGAGGGGGAAGCAACTCCTTTGGAACCCAGATTCCTGAGTAGTTTGTGAGGTTGGGCTGAAAGCTGTGGACTCATAAGGGCATCTATTCTTTGGAATTTTCCTAAGAGGGTATCTCTCCTGGATTCCTCTTCTCTGCCCCTCCAGAATGATGTTTATGAATGGGCCCGAGATCACCGTGCCCACCACAAGTTTTCAGAAACAGATGCTGATCCTCATAATTCCCGACGTGGCTTTTTCTTCTCTCACGTGGGTTGGCTGCTTGTGCGCAAACACCCAGCTGTCAAAGAGAAGGGTGGTATGCTGGATCTGTCTGACCTAAAAGCTGAGAAACTGGTGATGTTCCAGAGGAGGTAAGTAAAGCAATCATAAAGTTGGAGATATGGTTCTGCCATCTAGTGTCTGGGTGCTCTACTTTTTCTCTTAAGACTTATAAAATATAAGCTGAAAAATTTATTGAGTTTGCATGTTTAAAATCATAATTTAAAACCCCAGTTTTTAAGATCCCACCAGCTGACTTGGCACCCGTAGCTCAGTGGTTATGGTGCCAGCCGCATACATCGAGGTTGGCAGGTTCAAGTCCGGCCTAGGCCTGCTAAACAATGACAACTACAGTTAAAAAAAAAAAAAAATAGCTGAGCATTATGGTGGGCACCTCTAATCCCAGCTACTTGGGAGGCTGAGGCAAGAGAATCACTTAAGCCAAGCCAATTAAATTTAACAAACGTTTATTGATCTAGAACAGTCATGGATACAAAGATGAATGTAGCCTAGCTCTTACCTGCCAGGAGTTTGTAGCCTATTAGAGGTCAGAGATTGAGCTTATAAGCCAAGTACCCCAATAACACTAATAGAAGGCAGAATATTTTTTGGATCACAAGAGGTGCAAGGGGGAGGGAGATGGCTCAGTGGGAAGTGTTTAGTGTTTATGGAGAAAGTGGCACTAGAATTTACCAGTGGATAAGAGATTTTCACAAGTACGTGTGGGGAGGGGCAGTGCAAACAGACAGAACAGAATGAGCTAACACATAAAGCATGGTTCAGCAAGAATCTTACTTGATGTATAGGGTGGGGGAGGAAGTAAGAATGGAAAGAGAGATGATGACATTTTTGTAGAGTCCGTAAAGCAGGCTTAGGATTTTATTCAGTAGGCAATAGGAAACTATTAAGTTTTTGAGCAGCAATGTGGTGGCAAAGTCAGGTATGCTTTGAACAGGCCATCCAGGTGAAAGGAATCATTAAGCCAAAGAAATGAGAAGGGACACAGGTTAGGAGGTAGTGAGGATCCATGTACTCCAGGGAAGAAGTTGCTAGGAATGGAAAGGAACAGGATGCAGAGAAGGAGGGTAGGTTATGAGAAAGTCAAGACTTCACTGCTTCAGAGAAGGAAGGAATCACTCCCCTTGGAATGTTGATGGTCTGGTCTACATTGAAATGAAGATTGAGAAAGGGCCTCTAGAGAGATAGAGACCTATAGGTCATCAAGTTCACTGAGTGTATCTCTCTGAGGGAAAAGAGGAATAAAGAATTAGAGAGCGGCTGGCCGGAAATGGAGGCATAAAACTAAACACAGACTCTGTATGAGAGTGCCCATGAGAGAGTGAAGAGCCCAAGGCAGAATGGAGAAGCAGCCTAGGTTGGAGATCTGTTTATTCATTTATAATTTGGACCTCACCTACTTTAACAACATGGCATTATGCTCCAGTAAAAAGAGTGATGGCCTTAGAGACAGGAGGCAAGCGTTTGGTCCTTGCTGTGCTGGTGCCCAGTGGTGTGATTCTAGAAAGCCATTTAACAACTCCTCATTGCCTCACCTAAAAAGGGAGGTAATAACACATCATCAAAAGCTTTCCTATCCCATTCCCTTGTGCTGTTTTCTGCCATGCTATACTCACAGCAGGGGATAGAGACTCACCCAGTGAGTGCAGATTCGGTAGGCAGAAGAGCCCTCTGAATCCATGTCTGGCCTCTCCATGCAGGTACTACAAGCCCGCTGTTGTGTTTATGTGCTTCATCCTGCCCACGGTGGTGCCTTGGTATTTCTGGGGTGAAACATTTATGCACAGCCTGTATGTTGCCACATTCCTGCGTTATGCTGTGGTGCTCAATGCCACCTGGCTGGTGAACAGTGCTGCCCACCTCTACGGATATCGCCCTTATGACAAGAACATTAACCCCCGAGAAAATATCCTGGTTTCCCTGGGAGCTGTGGGTAAGTTGGAGGTCTTCAGTGGGAACACATCTAGATCTAGTGGTCTGCTGACTAGGGTATTAGGCTAGGAGCCAGAAAAACCAGATTAACCTGTTTTTATGACCACTTTGCATCTCAGTTTTTCCACTATAAAACTAGGGGGCAATATATTGGAAAACCTTTATGTGAGAGTCAAGCACCAAGTTGTATGGAAAAACATAACACTGCTTTTGATTCCAGCTTCCAAAACAATCTCCAAAGGCTATGTATGACGAACCCCTGAATTTTCATTTTCCCTTATCACCTGGGTTGTACCTGGGTTGTACTGCTGTCGTGCTTGGGCTGGAGGGCGCATGATGGAACACAATAGGGGCTCGGCGCCTGTGGCTCAAGCGGCTAAGGCGCCAGCCACAGACAACTGAGCTGGCAGGTTCGGTCCGCCAAACAACAATGACTGCAGCAACCAAAAAATAGCCGGGTGTTGTGGTGGGCGCCTGTGGTCCCAGCTACTTGGGAGGCTGAGGCAGGAGGCTCGCTTGAGCCCAGGAGTTGGAGGTTGCTGTGAGCTGTGATGTCATAGCACTCTACCCAGGGGGACAGCTTGAGGCTCTGTCTAAAAAAAAAAAAAAGAAACACAATAGGGCCATCTGAGTGGCCACTAATCTAGTGTTTTACAGTTAAGTGTGCTATATAAAATGTAGACACAATAACTATAATTTAGTTCAGTAAACTTAAGTATGCTTCCTTAATTGTATCTCCCCACTGTATTCAGATATACCATACTCTTAAATGGGTGTCATGTTTTACCATTTGGGGATGTCACCATGAAGGGCATCAGAGCAGTGGCTCTTTGTCACTACCTACCTCCTTGTCTCCTCTTGTCCTTTATTTTCCTCTCTTCTATCTGTGTCCTGTACTAGAAAGACCCCTTCCTCCAATATAGTTTAGGGAATCACCCTAAAAACAGTTTGGTCGGCTCGGCGCCTGTGGCTCAAGTGGCTAAGGCGCCAGCCACATACACCTAAGGTGGCAGGTTCAAATCCAGCCCGGACCCACCAAACAACAATGATGGCTGCAACCAAAA